TTTGGAGGATTTTGTTAGGGTTTTGAAAAGGGTAGGAGGAGGGAAAAGGAAAAGGTCAAGAACGGGGTGTTGGAGGGAAAATTGAAGCGCCAATTTTGTTTTTTGATTTTTAAAATTTTTTACAGATTGCTATGGTGGCTGCCCGATTGCTCTCTTTCACTAGGGGAACGAAGTTCTTTTTATAGCAAACAACTAGTTTTTTCTTCTTCTTTTTTTCCTTCTAAATGCCGCGGATTATTCTAAAAAAATAGTTTAATTTTGATTTTCAGTTTATTCCTCTAAAATTATACTTTTTATTGTTTTAAGTGTTAAAATTATTTATTTATTTTCTGTTACTTACTTTGCATACTTTAAAATATCTTGATATCAAATTAACAATCACTTTTACGTGATAAAGTTTTAATTTATTATTTATAAATTAACAATCAATTTTACGTGATAAAATTTTAATTTATTATTTGAAAAACTAAGAGATGAATGATCAACATGAAAGATGAAATAGAGTCATTTTCAGGAGGTGTACAAAACTATAATTTCATTTTTTAAGTTTTAATTTTGTATAATTAGTCTTTATTTTTTTAGCGTATTACATTTTGGCCTTAATTTTTATTTTTTTATGTTTTAATTATTATAAATTGTAAAAGAAAAGAGACAAATTAGTATAGAAGTTGAGAAGAGAGATAGTTATTAAGTACCTATTAAAAACTTTGATTTTGGTATTTATAAATAATAGATTGGAATTTGAATTTTTATTTTTAAATTTAATTTAATTTTGATGTTTTTGGTTGATTAAAATATGTTTTGTGGTTGAAAATAGAATATTTTTTATTTTTTTTGTGAAAAAGGATTAAATTTTGAATTTTAATTTTTTTATCATCAGGATACACCTAAAAGAATAACCTTTCTCCTTTGAGTTTAGCGTAAAGGAAGAATTCAACCTCCATGAACTTAGCTACACATAACATCTTAGACCCTAATTTTTCTGTATCTTTTAGGTGTATAAAAGTTCTTTAGAAATCCATCATATTTCTATCAAACATTAATATAGATGTGAGAGATATTTATACCTTATTAAATAATATCATAATAAAATTACACTTCAGACCCTTCTCTTCATAAAAAAACAAGACTCATGGGTTGTAAATACACCATGAAACCTTCAAATTAAAAGTTCATAGTCTTAATTCTTTACTGCATATATATTCTTAGAGCATCTCTCTTCATAATATTCTTGTATTTTTCCTCTCTAAAAAGATATTTATTTGAGTATCGAAGAGTCTCCACCTCCACCAAAAAGAATTTTTTGTAGGTACTAGTCACAAACAACCTTAGCTTGTTAAATACCAAGTAGAAGTTATCAACTGTCTTGGTTAGGAAGAATGGATGATATTGTTAAGACCAATTGATTAGCCAATTATTCAACTCAAAAGCCTTATTCTTAGGCTATTTGGATTTTTGAGACTTTATTAATGATGTCGTTTATGGGAAAATGATCAAAAAAACATTGGTTTCTTTCTAAAGTTTGCTTTTGATATTTTTAGCCATTCCATAGCACACAATCAATACCTACCCAGGCTACGATATGAGACAAGTCTTCTCTTTGCTGCTTACACTCGTGCCCAAATAAAGCTTCAACACAACTTTGCAATCAAGTCTGACTCCTCACTAAAGTAGTGCTAGCCATATAAGGTAAAACAAGTAAATTTGGGCTATGCTTTACTAACATTACAAATGCAATTGAAACCTTAAGATTTTGAAAAGCTTCCAACAAACACAGGTGCAATATTAGTTCAAATCATAAAACATGTGAAGTATTTTTTACAATTATACAAATGAATGGAAGAGTCTCCCTCACATCGGACAGTCTGCTCAAATAAAAATTTACAATAACCAATAAGAATAAAAATGTAAGTTTCTTATATGTAAATGACTAATTCAAAATGACTTTTTTATTTTATTTTCTTGAGGTTATGCCTAAAAGTCTTTCAATAATACACCTTGAAAGGAATGAACTTGGTCTCCCCAGTATTATATGCTCCACTCTTAATAGGATTGAGTTTGTCTCCCTGGTTTTATATGCATCAATCTTCAAGGGATAGATGTAATTTTCCTAATGTTACATATACCAATCTTCAAGGGGTAAATATAATCTCTCCGGTGCTATATGCATTAGTATTCAAGGGATATATGTAACATCTTCAGTGCTATATGCATCAATTTCTAAGGGGTAGATATAATCTCTCTAGGAATATATGTAATTTCTCTAATGCTATATGTATCAATCTTCAAAAGGTAAATGTAATCTTCTCAATTATATATGCACCAATTTTCAAGGGATGGATGTGATTGGTTTCCTGGGTATAAATAACAACATCATGTAATCACTACTCTTAATAAGGGCTTTCATGTATCATAAAAAAAAAATCATAATGACCATTATTTAGTAAATGGTTTTTAAGCCCCATGACAATGTTAGAAAAGCTACACACTCCCACTCACCAAGAACTTATAATCACTTAGAACTTTTTAAGTATAGGTTTAGTGTCAATGAGTTCCTTATAAACCATTTAGAAATTTATATAGATGATGGACATAGTACTCTTAATCTCTTAGAATTTTTCTAATTATAAATTTATGTTCTTTTAGTCCATATGCATATTTCTCTACATATTTTCTAGCTTACCCCCATTTTTATACGAGCAAAACTCACTACTCTACTTGAACTAGAAGATTAATTTAAGTTTTTGCATATTATTATATCGCAAAAACTAGGGGACTATTGATTAACCAAGTTTTTATAAGTATATCTTTACCAAAAAACATTGGATTAAAAAAAATTTATGAGTATAAATTTTTAGGAAAACAAGCACGCTCTAGTGAAGGTGCGCTGGGCTTGGCTACGTGCAAAGTTCCAGGCACGCTGGGTTTGGCGCTAGCCAGACTCAGATGTTATTAGGTCTAGTAATGTGTCAAGCCTTGGGCACACCCAAAATAATGCACATCCTCATTTGGGCACACCCAAGAGAATGATCATCTTCCATTGGCATGCCTAATGGAATGAGGCAATGCGAGTCTGGCGAATATGTCAAACCCAAGATACTTGAACTTGGTATTTAGTCAAGTTGACAACGTAGGTATGGTAAACATGTCAAATCCAAGGCATTTAGACTTAGTAGCCTGGCAAGTTCAAGGTAACAACCATCCTTACTTGGCACGTCTTAGGGAATAACTATTTTACCTAGGGCACGCCTAAGAGAATGATCCTCCTCCCTTGGTCTAGCTTAGGGGAATAACTCAGCATCCATGGGCTCAGTTATAACTAACTTATTGGACCTTAATCTCTCTACACCTTTTAGGTTTATAAAAGTCTTATAGGAACTCGTTATATTTCTATCAAACATTAATATAAATGTCATGGATATTTATATCTCATTAAATGTTATCAGTATAAAATTACACTTCAGACCCTCCTCTTCACAAAAAGATAAAATTTATGGACTATAAATACACCATGAAACTTTCAAATCAAAAGTTCATAATTTTCAATATCTACTGCATATATATTTTTAGAGTATCTCTCTCCAGAATATTATTGTATTTTCTTTCTCTAAAACGATACTTATTTAAGCATGGGAAAGTCTTTACCTCCAAACAAAAAAAAAACCTTTTACAGGAACTAGCTAGAAGTCATCTTGGTCTATTAAGCATTAAGTGTAAGCTATCAATTACTATGGTTAGGAAAAATGGATAAGATTGCTATAATCAATTAATTAACTGCTTATCCAACCCGAGATCCCTATTCCTAAGCTATTTGAATTTTTTAGACTTCATCATATTGCACTACAGATTTTATGAATCTCACCTTAATATAAGGTTACTTTTAAAGTCATCCAAACGCAATAAATAAATATAATCACTTGTAGATTTTTGGATAAAAAGTCTGTTTGTTTTTGTATTATAAAAATGTTTTTGAATAAAATTTAAAAAAAAAAATTGCTTTAATTTTTTGTGTGTTTTCTTATTTTTTCGATGTGTTAATATCAAGAATATTTAAAAAATAAAAAAATTATTTTAATACATTTAAAAACAAAAAAAAAATTAAAAAACAAACAATTCCAAACACAATAAAAAAAACATATCTTAACATGAATTCAAGGGTCTTCACTGGCGTTTGGAAGCTAAAATGAGAAAAGGTGTCTTTCCCCTTGCATAGAATCAATTCCATCTAGATGGGATTTACGCTCCCCCTTCGGCTAAGATATTAGCCATGAAAATAGGAGATCCTCTCTCGTACACTATTTAAACGTAAATATAACAGGTAAGTTATCCTCAGTTTCTTGTGGTTTCTTGGTCTTAACTCGTTTGACCACTACAAGTTACCTTTGGAGAAGAGGGTTCTGGATTTTCAAAAGCACAGCCACGTTTCTTGCCGTTGGCAGATGTCTGTCCTCGGTGGCATGGCTATTGATTTGCACCTTGCTAAAAGTTAAATAATATTTTTTTAGTAAAAAATAAATATACAAATATTTTCATCATGTTTTATTAACAAAAAATATTAATCATAAATCAAAAAATTTATGCATCCATTTAATTAAATAAATTAAAAACTATTCTTATCAATAAATATAAATAAAAAAATATCAACATGTCTATCTTAGTCACTTCGCCATGGTTTTAATAAATTTTTTCCTTACACACAAACAAACATGTAAATATTGTTAATGTAATTTTTAAAATTGAGAAAAAAAATTATAATTATGAGCTGTTTACACCATACATATATTAAATAAAATGATCATATATATATATATATATATATATATATATATATATAAACATAAATATAAAGTAAGTATTTATGCTAAATAAAATAAATAAGAAAAAGTTGCTAATGTAAATCAACTGTTTTTCATTTTTCTTTTTTCTCTTTTCCGTATGGGCACTATACACCGTAACACCATCAAAATACCCACGATAAACATGAAATCACGCCCTTAATAATCATAAATTATCAGCAATCGTATTAGCTAAAATATACTAAACACAGTTTTGCACAACTAGAACATAACAAACCAAACAGTGCCTGCAGGATGGAAGTATTGCACCATCAGTAGTATTAGGTCACAAAGCTTCAGGCATTAGTTGCTGTTTCCTTGGGAATGGCAAGTAATGTTCTGCCGTGTGTCCTAATATTAGCCCCAACAACAATGCAGCTAATTTTCAACAGAACACTTTGTCTATAATATCAATTCCTACATCTCTTTAGTACACTCCAAGAAACTAAAACAGAAAGGATCCCAAAACCTGCACTACAATATAATAATAGAAAACCTATCAAAAGCCTGAAAACGTCTTACTTTTATTTTTCTTCAAAAAGAACTTTATATGGACTCATTTTACATTCAACTGCATAGATATTGATTGGTAATGTGGCGAACTCGCAGATTTTTTAACACAGCCCATCAACTTCAGAGGATTCTGTCCTGAAGATCAGTTATGAAGGTTGATGCGAAGGAGCTGAGCTTCTTCCCAGTCTCTCCTGCAATATTCTTTAGGGAAGAGATATCTTGTTGTGCCTAAGAGGGTTAAACAAGGGAAGAAACCTTTGATAAATATAGGAAAGTGAAAAACAAACAAAAAGAAGTGAAAGAAACCAGTGGTTTCCCATCTTAACAGAAATTCATTCAAATATTTAAGCACCAAAACATGCAAAGCATTACCTGGAAAGAGATCCGATTGATGAGGTCACTCGCAGCAAGATCAATAGTCTGATCATCGCTTTGACCAAAAAGATCAGCACTTGATATAGCTGAGGAGCCCTGTAACAGCATAAAACTTACACCCTTTAACCTTAAATAAAATTTCAGAAGAAAGAAATGCAAGATTTTAGTGGTTAGTCGTGGCCGTCATTAGAAATGAGCTGGTTGATGCTCATTACAGTTAAAGCAGATAGGATGTATGCAATGGTATGTGGAAAGAATTGTCTAGCTTATGAGGCAGTTCCATCAAGTCTGGCATGTGGTATAGGTTTCATACGAGAGATACTGTGCGGAAGACCATGGAGCCATTGGTGATTTGACTCCTCATTGTCTAAGCACTTCTATGTAACCGCGGCATTTTGCCATTTTTCCTGCAAGCTAGAACCTAAGTTTGGAATGGGAAGGGGAGGCAAGGGCAATTTGGAATTCTCACTCACAGCATCCAAAAACCATAGTTCTTTTCCCAGATAAGGGTAGATGTTGGGGGTGTGGGGGGGATCCCTGGCTGAGTAAAGAAACTTCTGGTTGGAACAAAAAAATTATCAATAATTTCAATCTAGTGACCGACAGAGCAGACAAGGATGAACTAATGGTAGTAAAATCACAACAAACAGAGAGAGAATGGGATGAAATTCTTGAAACCTGTCACTATAAACTAAATAAAATTTAAATATATTTAGATAGTGGTAGCAAGAGGGCATACAGAGAATTTCTGCAATGAAACTTGAGCATCAGCATCAGCTTTGTTCTGATCACCAAAATATTGGGCTGATGAGATTGATTTTGCATTCGAGAACTTTTTTCTTGCTTCATCTGTTTCCTGAATCTGATAGTAACAGGATGTATGAACAAACAAGTACAGAACTAAACAAACAAATTCCTTGCTGACTAAATCACTAGTGTCATCTGACAAATTCCAGTAACAATGGGCATAACATCTCCAATGTCACATGCAATTCCCAAAACATAAGTAAAGTGATTGATGACAAGAATGCTAACAAATAATAGAAAACATAAAATACCAAGACCGTTACTGAAGCAAGAAAAACACCACTAATATCAAGATCCTTTTTATATGCAGCTAGAGAAGAAAAAATAGAGATACACAAAAGTATCGCAACCAACAGAGAGACGGTTTCTGCAGAAACATTACCTATTCTATGATATTTATCTTCATGGTTCTTAAACATAAACTCAGACAAAATCAACTATATTTTAAATCCTCTTAGTGAAAAGGAATGACATACAGGTTATCTCATAACAGAATATAAACACCCCTTTAATGTAAAATACAAATTTAATATACCCATTATTCAGAAGTACAGAATCATACTAAAAAGAAAAGCATTTAGGTTAAAAAGAAAAGCATTTAGGTAAGAGTAAGCACCACGAGACTTGCACATAAGTGAATTTTGAAACCCATCAACTCAGGACTTTTGTATAATACCAACACAAAAACCTAGTGAAATCAAAAGAATGACATTGAAATACAAAATAAAATTAACTTAAAAAACTCCTCTATGTAGTTTAAGGTAAAAACACAAAGCTGTCACTCTATTGATTTTCCCACAATACTCCATGAGAACTGTCGACCCTTATTTCTTTTTACTGGACAGACATAATTTGCAAAATCTAGACTTGCATGCTGAAAAATAAAAAAGAGATTGAAAAGTCACTAAAACATCACAACATTATTACAATGCAGAAATAGCAGCTTAAGCACAGGTATTATGCAAATTTAACCCTACAACTTCAAAAGAAATTTCAATTTTACTAGCTTATGAGAGAGTTTAAACCAGTTTGGAAGTGTCATCACAAGCTAAATGTCATGATGCCTCGTTTTTGTTGAAAATCAAACACTCAAAAGTGATGAGTACAATTTGACAGAACAACTAGCAAACACATAATGGAAGGACATAGATGCTTTTCACATTCCTCACAAATTTTACAAACTCTCAATTTGTGCTCCTCAAGTAAATGGCTTTTTTCCCCTTTTCAACTCTGCATATGAAATGCTTTGATTTGTTTAAGCACTGAATATAGTGTGGGAAAAAAAAAGCTGATTGGTAGCAACTTACCATAAATTTGAACCAGATTTGGGAAGAGAATTAAAATCTAACAAATTAATTAATAGTCTAAATTTCAGTTGGCCGATGAAACCAAAAATTTCAATATCATTTTGACATCCATTTTTTTCTTTTCAGACTCTTGCCTGGTATAAAAACCTGGATCCTTTCAAAGGTTGCAGTCTCTAGATTTGAGAAGTCACAGTTAGGTGATATTGCATTAACTGGTGGTTATTTGCTGAACGTGCAAGTATTGCCTGGTTTTCTACAGTTGACCATAAGCAGATAATGCATGTTAAAGAGCTTACTTGAACTTTTGAGTAGTTTGAGCTTCCTTTCTTGGGAAAACCGCTTTCCATCCCGAATTCTGCGAAAAAGCTTGATGACTTTGGCGGAGATACATGACTAATCACTTGTGGGCCCCCAGAAATCATCTCAGCAGGTTGAACATTATCTACATACTCAAAGCGAGATGCAAAAGATGTGCCAGCTTTTGTGTTGTTGTTGTTGTTGTTAGTTGTTGAAGTTACAGGAAGTGCTGGTTCTTCAGGCTTCTGGTCATAGAGATTTTCACTAGGCTGCAATTGAAGGTTGTACTATTAAGAAGCAGGCTAGGTAAAAAATGTCAAGCTGACTTATGCTTCTAAGATAACTGATGATAATTCTACAAGCTAGAGGCAAAATCCTACCTTCGTAGCAAGCTTTCTAGCACCAAGCCCCCCTGTTTTCCCAGTTCTCTTTGCACCAAGTGGCTTCTTCACAGAACTGGTAATAACCGAGTGAGAAGCTTTTGGGGAACGAACTAAATCAGGTGTTTCTTGTTTTCCTAATGAGCTTTCTTTAGGAGCATCATTAATCTTGACATCAGGAAGTCCATTTGCTGCTTGGGCTGCCTTAGAAGTAACAGGGGATGATGGCAAGCCAGCTTCTTCTGCCATACTTTTAGCAACTTCTTTTGAAAGTATTTGCCTATATAACTCTGCAGCTCTAGATGTATACTTGGCCTCAATTTTCCCCCCATCAGTCCAACCATGCTGCTTAAAGAAAGCCTGAGCCCGATTATTTCCCCCAAAGCTCATTGTTCTCAATTGCTCTGGACTCCATGAATCTAAATTCGTAGACCTATATGAATAGGAAATAACATTGCATCACAGTCGTTCCTGAAAAATAAATGCTAGAAGAAAAGAGGATAAACAGAAACCCTTATATATATATATATATATATATATATAATGGGAGCAAAGATAACACCAAAACTTGGTTTGGAGTTGGAACATGTCTCTCCAGTCTATAGATACAGAGAAACCCAGAGTAAATTTTCTGAAATTGAGATCTCAATTTTACCGCCACTGGTTACATCCTACCAACCGCATTCTAAATTTTACAGCCATTATTTCCAAAATGCAAAAGGTCTACTTGCAAAAAGAATCATCCATACACTACCATTGATCCTGCAGTGAAATAAAAACTAAAACTATCCCAACAACCTAGTCAAAACAAATTGACAAGATGCCAGGTAGTTTAAAGAGGAAACATTCATTTTTTATGTGATGCTTGATTGTTCCCTTCTTAATTTTCAAAAGCAATGATCACATTATCTCTCAGTAAAAAAAAAATCATATTGATTAATCTCCAAATCTATCACGTACAATTCTCACTTCACATTATCTGATCCAAATAAAATTAACTTTTTGCACCAATCCTGTGCATCAACAAGCTTCATTGTACTTTAAAAAGAAAACAAAACTGTCATTTAAATCTAAATTAAATGCACAATCGGATAATTAAACACGGAAATTCAAAAAAAAAAAAACAGAGAATAAATTTACCTAACGAAGCTGATGTGTACACCGAGACTACGGTGAACAGCAGAGCAGTCGATGCAAAGGAAGATCCCGTACGTTACTGAAGCCCAAGTAGGATTTTTCGCATTACAATCAAAACACATCTAATAACAAACACACGAAATCGTAAATTCCAGATCCAATATAATAACAATAAAATTTCCAGATCTGAATCAGATCCACAACGAAATCAATAAGGAATAACCTTGTTATCCGATTTCGCTTTCAGTTTTCTGAACACCACGTTTTTGTCAGTGAAATTTTCCGACGCCATGGAGATAATTTAGGGAGAGAAGGAGGGAGAGACGAAAAGTGATCCCGAAGAGGTTACGCGAATTGCTGCAACACCGCCTCCGCCTCAGCTTGAAACCAGTAGATCGCAAATAGAGGAAGTTAGAGATAAATATAAAGCGAAATAAAATTGCAAAGTTGGAGAAAGCGAGTTCGTTTGCTTCGGCTTCAATTTAATAACAACAACAGATTAGACAGAGATATATGAATGGGAGATATATATTTATTTATTTACTAAAATGCCCCTGGAATGTGTTTGCTTGACGGACGATGATTTCTGGTGACCTGTTTCCGTCTGCGAGGGACTCTGGCTGTTTAAAAAAAAAAAAGGGGGGTTATTTTTAAGGAAATGACTTAAATGGGCCTGTGGGCGCTGACGGTTGGGGGTGAGGGTAGCGGTCTGTGCTTGTTGAGTATTGCAGGCCGTCAACCCATGGTCGTACGGTGAGACGTTAAAGCACAGCCACCAAATGCAGTATCTATGCTTTTACGGAATCTTAATTTATTATGATGGACTCTCTCTCTCTCTCTCTCTCTCTCTAATTGCAGTCTGGTATTTTTTAAAAATAAATTCAGTCATCTAGTTCTTCAAATTATTTGATGAAGCAAGCGTTATTATTATTATTTACAAAAATCACATAATATCGTTTATTTATGTATTTATTTTTTAAAATAGGATCCATTCTTACAAAAAAACAAGAGGGAGGTTTTCTCCTTTTCTTCTCTCTCTTTCTTTGTTTGAAGGCAGAGGAGGTTTCCAGAATGTGCCCAACAAAAGTTTCTTGTTAAAATATTTATTTGTGAATATATCGAGGAATGGGCCCGCAATGTAGTTCTAATGCTTTCCTGTTCCGGAGAGGGCCATGGTGTCGAAGGTTTACCTCGTCTTCCCTGGGGTCTATCCAAACTTCTGCCATTTTATCTTTTTTTTCCCGCAACTAGTTATTTCACCCATACTTAGTCATGGATCAAATAATGTTTTTGAGAAAAAATAAATGTGAAAGTTTTAAAATCTATATTTTAACAACAAAAAATTGTTAATAAAAAAGTGTTTGCATATATTTACTTAAATAAATTGAGAATATTTATATCAATATAAATACAAAAAATATTAACATGTTTATTTTGACTTACCTCGTTGCTTGTTGAATAATTTCTTTCTAACTCAAACGAGTTACTATATATGTCTAGCTAATATGTTTTTTAACATTGAGTAATAAATACAAATGAAAATTAAAAAATTGATATTTACATATATAATGAATATCATGTATATTAATAGAAATATATGATATTTTTAACATAGTAAAAAAAATAAGATAATATTTTAATTGTTACAATAAAACATCATTTTTTTATTCTTTATACAATAATAAAAAAAGGTGTAAAGAAAAAAAAAATAAAAAACAAAATATAAAAATAAGAATAAAAGGAATGGTATGGATAGAAAAAGTGTAGAATGAAAAGTATTCCAAGTATAAATAACAGGAAATAATATTTTTTTTCTAAAAAAGTATATATAAAAAAAACTAAAAACTTATTAAAAAAATTAAGATAAGAAAAAAATGATAATAAATAAATCAAGTGAAAAATCATAAATATACCAAGTACAAGGAAAACAATATATAAGAAAAACTTTTTTTTCCTAAAAAACCCAACAACTATAAATTTGCCACTGCTACAGAAATGCTACAATAAAAAATGCAGAAAAAAATTATAATTATGCCATTTCCTACCGTCAAAGATTATTTTCTTTTAGTATATATATAATTTTTTTATTTTTGATAAATTTCTTATATTATTCATGAATGAATAAGATTTTATTTTATTTAAATAAATTTTTTTATTAATTTTTACATGATTAGTTATTAATTTTTAATTTTTGAATCTATTATTGGAACTATGCTAAATTTGACAACTATTCATAAAATGCATAATAAGTATGGGATAATTTTTATTGTATAATAATCTTATTAGTCCAATTTTTTCCAATTATTAGGAAAAAACAATAAAAACCTCTTGAATCAACTCAATTTAAACATTTAAGCCAGTATTATAAGATATAAGATTAAGATAACTCTAAAAAAAAAAAAAAGATTACAAAATTTAATACTCAACCAATCCAATATTAAAAAATAAATTAAAAATAAGATTATTTTTTTTAGAAAAAAACCTAAAAAAGTATAAATTCAGCTCATGCTAATCTTTAAAAACCCATGACCTAGGTCATGAGACCAAAACTAACTCTAAATAAGACAAACTAAAAAAATCATGAAACTAAATTCTCAATAAAAAAAGATAAGAGATAAAATTGAAAAGAAAAAAAATCAATCAAAAGCATAGTTATTAATCAACCCGGGTCGACTTTAAAAATTTAAAAAGAAATATTTGAAATTTTAATAATTTATATGAAAAAATTAAGAAAAAATCCGTATGAATATGGACTATATATGTTATAAATATTAAAGTTTAAAATAATATTTTAAAAAAATTATCCCAAATTAAAAATATATAATTTTATACTTTTAAGTTAAAGTATTTAGATAAAAAAAATATATCCCACATTAAAAGAATATAACTTTTTTCTTATGAACATAGAGTATATATACTAAAAGACTTCAAAAAGATATTGTGCTATTATTTTAAGTTGAACTATTTAAATAAAAAGATATTTTATCATATATTGAAAAAATATAATTTTTTTCTTGTGGACATAAAGTATATCTACAAAATAACTTCAAATCCCACATTGAAAAAATAATTTTTTTAAAAAAAACATAGGAGTATGTATACTAATGAGTTTTAAATTTCATATTGAAAAAATATGATTTTTTTCTTATGAACATAAAATATATTATACTAAAGGGCTTTAAATCTCATATTAAAAAGATATCATGTTATCCTTTTAAATTGAAGTATTTAAACTAAAAATTTTTTTATCTTATATTGCAAAAACATAATTTTTTTCTTGTAAACATAGAGTATATATACAAAAGAAATTCGAATCCCAAATTGAAAAAATATTTTTTTCTTGGGAACATAAAATATATATACTAAAGGTTTCAAATCCTACATTAAAAAAAGATAACTTTTTTCTTGAAAATATAGAGTATATATGCTAAAGGATTTCAAATCTAACATTGAAAAAAAATATATTTTTAATATTTATATAGTGAACTTCAAAAAGTGTTAATAATCAGTTAACAAGTATGAAAAAAGAGAGGCATAGGAGAAAAACCACATTTAAAATGAAAAAAAAAACATCAAATCTCACCTGAATTTGCCTGGATGATGCACCGACCGGTCTTTTGGCAAATCTAGATTGGTCTAGCCACCAGGTTAACCCGTTAGCCCGATCTGGGTTTAATAACTACGATCAAAAGAATTAAGATCAAATTTAATATAAAAATCAAGTGTTAAGAGATAGAATTGAAATCCAAATGTGAAAAGGATATAAAAATTATAATTAAAAAAATAAATACCAAATTTAATTTAAAAATGAAATGAAACAAATGCTAATGGATGAAATGAAGACCATTAGAACCTAACACCTGGTATGCACCAATACGCGCTAGATCATAAGGAAGAATGCGATGTGACACTTCTAGCATCGCAACAAAAATATCGTGATAACTTCTTATGTCATGCTTGAACACAACATATGCTTCTTACATGCACCAATCTATTTGCTTTGCCTATTTATTTTAGTTATCATTTTTGTTTAAATTTTAACTTAGGTTGTTTAACATTTAATTATTTCAAATTTGCTAAATTTTATTTAATCTAACAAAATTAAACATCGACTAAGCATAAAAAAATTTCTTTAATGTTTAAGATTTTCAAATCATAGTAACCAAGTTAAATTACGAAGTCAGATTTTAAATAAAGTCAAAGCAAAGAGATTATATTGGAAAAAAAAGACATAAAACTTAAAAAAATTGACATGAAAATCTTTGACAATGCAAATCGATCTTTGTTGTTGGTAAAAAAAAAAAATTTCTTTAAATTTTAAATTTGAACGTTGAAATTTTAATTATTTTAAATTAATTAAATTGAATTTTATTTTATTGAATGTGAAAATAAATTTTTCTTGACATCTTGAGGTATGTCCTTATACACATGTATAGAAAATAAATTATCAAAACCAACTGCAAATCAAGTAATTTTAAAGGACCGAACAAGAAAACAAAGAAATTGAGGGATGAAAGCATGAAAATCAGAGGAACTTGAAAAAAAATAATCGTTGTTATAATAAACAGTGATTCCCCTCACAAGAGGGCTTAGTTCTTTCGATTATATAAGATAGCTAATGAATTTTTAATATTTTAAAACAGGTTTTGCCTGAATGGTTTTGTGTGTGTGTGTGCGCGTGAGCGCGCGCGCGTATTTTGAATGAGAAATAATTTATATCGCTTCACATTTCAACGGCGTATTGCTTTAGTGTATTCTTTTGCTCCATCCTACGTAATATTATTGGGTAGTAAACGGTAGCCAAAAATCTGAGACAAAAATTAAACACGGTAGAAAAAAAAAATCTCATCAAAACTTGGTCCAACAGTATAGGCACGACGAGCCTAGTGTGTTGTCGGAAAGGCCCATAATCTGAAGTGTAACTTTGTAAGGTAGTAATCACATACCCATATTGGTTCATCGTGGGCCTCTGACGGGCCTTCCACGGCAGCACTATACAATGCGGTTCGTGTAAAAGGGATCACATGTGTCACTTCTGAGGCTTCAAACTTCTAGAATCTTGCTCTCTGTAAAACAAATTGAAGTCATCAATAGCTAGAAGTTATGGCAACAGATGTAATATTTCAGCCCAGTAGTAGAAGAGGCCTCCTCCTGTTGATTTGATTGCTTGCATGTCTAATTATACCAAATAAATTTATGTTTAATGTATGGAATTAAGTAAAAAATTTAAAAATCAGAATTAACTCGGATAACTCGATTAAATCACACAAACTCACGAGTTTGCACCGATTTTACGAGTTTTGATGATACAGATGCCTCCTCCCTTTGATTTGATTGCTTGCCAGCTGTTTCTTTAGATGCTTTCTAGTACCAATAGACCCCACCCTGACAGTGCGACCCTAGGGCCTGTGATGATCCTTCAACTTGGCTTTTATAATCCTGTGGGGCCCACTAATCTCATTTATTGCAAAAATATTTAATGTTCTGAATTATGATGTGTTTGTTTTTCTAAAAATATTATTTTTATTCTACATTTCTCATTGTTTAAAGAGTTTTAAAATGTTATTATTTAATGGAAAATAGTTTTTCAATCAACCTAAAAGTATAATTTA